AATATGGCAATAGTGAAACCCATGAGTGGTGCAGCCAATAGGTCTTTTGCTTCTTTGCTGTGTGTTTGGACAGCCAGTCTTTCCTAAATGTCAGATTTTTCCTGCTGAAAAGAGATTTTTCCTCCCTGATTTGTCTGAATCCTTTTGAATTTTATGCCACTGCTGGCAGCCCCTCCAGCTCAGGAACATCTGAGAACTTAATAAGGATGTTCTCCACTACAAAACAAGTTACTGATGACAGAACAGTAAATAATAATGGTAAACAAAGAACTGGAATCTGTCACGGAAGGAAAACAGACTCATCTGAAAGGATTCATTCTTGGCAAAGGCCATGACTATTACTCATCTCTTTCTTTGATTAAAAGTCCCACTGTTTGTTTTGGATTTGGTTTTTTTTTTACTTGAACCCAACTGGTTTGTAGTTCCTTGGTTTCCTCCTTTTATTTACCCTGCTAACAATAAGAGACACTAAGGTCTTGCTCCTGTGACCCCATCCCCTCCCTCTTTTCCCAGAGATATTGAATGTTTGGAGGTGGCTTCCATCAGTTTTTGAGGTAGAGGGGATTTTTTTCCTCAGGCAAGCAGTCTGAAAATGAGGAATGATTGAAATATACTTTAATTCAAACTTTCTGGAATCCTCCCACCTCCTCCACTGGCTGTTTTGCCAGTGGAAAAAGGAAAAGTGGTAGAAGACAGAAAATGAGCATTGATTAGATTTTTCACTACAGAGATGGAAATTGAATAGAAATGCAAAATCTTTCTTCCTGCTGGTTGCTCTGTCTTCCTACCACACAGCAACCACCTGGGAGATCTGATTTTGCTTGGAGCTGAGATGCAGGCAGTGCTCTGCTGGTGACATCAGTGCTTCCTCTCTCCTTGTGTTGTTTTTCTGCATTTTTCAGCAGCAGGAGATGCCATCTGGGGAGGGCCCAGCTTTGGTTGTGTTCCTCCAGCTCCCACACAAGCAGTAATAGCAATTCCAGAGGCTACATTCCTGCCTGTTACCTTCAGCATCTGTCTGTTGGCCTGCTGCTGCTCACCAATCTGCTCTACCTTTTACAAACCTGCTGATCCCATTTGTTTCCACAGCCTCCTGTGGCAGTGAGTTCCAGAAATTCATTCTCCCACCTGCTTCAAATAAAGTCCTTTTTATCCATTTTAAATCAATCCACCAGACTGATCAATGCCCTCTAACTCTCATCAAGCACCAAGTCCACGTTCTCTTTATGATTTTGTAGGGCTGGCATGTTTTGCTCTCCAGAGAAAAATCCCAGCCTCCCCAAACCCCTTTGTATTGCAGCTAGCCCATCCCTTTGATCTCAGTTGTCCTGCTCAGGGCTGTAAGTGCACAATATTCTCACATCCTAAGATGTCCTGTTGTGACAGAACAAGGGGTGACGGTTTCAGATAAAGAGGTTTGATTTAGATTAGATGTAAAGAAGAAGTTTTTACAGTGGAGGTGGTAATACATTGGCACAGGTTACTCAGAGAGGTTGGGATGCTCCATCCCTGGAAACTTTCAAGACCAGGGTTGGATGGGCCTCTGAGCAACCTGACCTAGTGCAAGCCATCCCTGCCAATGGCAGAGGGGATGAACTAGACAACCTTTAAAAGTCCATTCCAACCCAAATTATGCCATGATTATAGGATTCCATGATCAGAGGCCAGACCTGCACAGATGTGGGTGCACCGAGCTGTTACACAACAGGCAGGAGATGTTCTCTTTGTTATTTTGCAAGCCCAAGCCTTTCCTGATGACACCACTGTATTTTTTTTTTTAATCTGCACATCAAGGCTACAATTTTGGCAAACCATCGGTGAGGGCTCCAGCATCTTTTTCCTGAGCTGTAATAGCCAGTTTAAGTTCAGCCTCCCCTGTTTTAGATCGCATTTCCCTATCCAGGTCACCCTCTTTATCTACACTGAAAGGATTGACCTTCTGTTTTTCCTTTTGTGAGTAACACTGAGAGCTGCACATAGCAAAGTTCCACAGAGTACATCAAATATCCTTTCAGCAGCTTCCTGCAGTGATGGAGCATCATTTGACTTTTCTGTCTAAAGCTGAAACTCCAACAGCAGAGTTTTGGTCCCTAATCCTGGGGTACAGCTCCTCGTTATTCTCTTCCTTCCCCTGTCACAGTGACTTCAAGCCAAGCTGCTGGGTGGACACAATTCAATGAAGATCTAGCTGAAAATACTTAAAACAAAGTTTTCCAGTCAGTGACACTTTTTTTATTCCTTGCACTAGGATCAGACAGAGAGAGGGGAGCAGACTGTGCCAGCTCTGTGCTCTCCAGAGACCTTTGCACATGGCCAGGAGGATCCCAGCTATGGATTTATGGAAAGCAATACAGCAAAATGTGCATTGCAGCTGCTCATCCAGAAAGCTTTTAGACATCCCTCAATAGCTGAGCAGCTCAGTGCCTTTATTAATAGTAGAAATGTATTTATCAAAATTCATGGGTCAGCACTGTTAAAGCTCTATAAATCCAATTTGCACAGGCCACCATTATTTATTTTTCCAGGTTGTTGCCTCAAAGAGGGATACTTCCAGTATCTAATCCAGACTTCTCCACAGGCCTGTCTGAAACACTGTAGGAAACACACTCTCCAGAACAGAGTCTTTCTCTTTTGTCTGACTTCCTGATGTGAAGGGCTCTGTGTTCAGGACTCATGGACCACAGGGCAGGAAGCAGAAGTGGTGAGCCCTGACCATCACAGGGACACCAACACCACTTCCAGGGTGTCACTGACTCAGACAGTCGGTGACTGTCCCTGTCCCCAGCACAGCCACAGTCCCTGAGGCTCCAGCACAAACAATCTCTGTGAGATTTTCTGAATCCTCTGGGCTCTTGGTGCCACACAGGTTGGGGCAGATGCAGCTGCACCTCCTGCCTGGCTGCAGGTCTTTGTGATGCACTGACTGGGCAGGTGGAGGAAGCTTCAGCTGCTCCAGCTCCAGCTTCAGCCCCAATTCCATCTCTGCAGCCAAAGGAGACCCTCCCTGGCCCAAACTCATCCCTTGGAGGCTGCAAGGCTGCTCAGCCAAAGGGAAAAGGAGCAGCCCAGACAGTCCCTGAGCCAATGACAACATTTGCATGTCCCCATGTGTTTGGAGCAGCTGTCACTCTGGAGGTGGCATCCATCCCGGCATCCATCCACACAGTTACAGGGAACACTGGAATGCTTCTCTTGGGAACAAGAGACCCAAGCTGTGAAAAAAATGGATATTGTAACACATTCTGGACCCGGCTCTGCATTGTGTTAGATAAGCTTAATTTATGCTCAGGTCTTTGACTTCTTTTTTTTTTTTTTCTCTTTTAAGAGGAAAATAACTAGAAATGGCATTTCAAGAAAGTAATTCATAAGGGCTGATTGGAGATGAGCTGATATCTTTAAAAGTATCAGCCTAAAATTAATGTAGAATGGGAACAGAAGGGTTTATTTGTTTTCCACTTAGAAGGAGAGCTCTGAAAATTCAAGGATAGTATCACACAGGGGCAAGGGGAAATGAACAAGCAGTGAACAAATTGAAGCTGGAAATTAGCAGAATTGTCTTTTCCCATCCCTTGAGCTGTATGTGCTCAAGCTTGTGGGCTGACTTCAGGGAAGGCTTCTCCTAAATCAGGAGAGGACATTGCCAGCTTTGAGCACACAGCCTGCTCTGACTGGGATTTTGGTGATGTCAGAGCTCCTGGAAAATGACAGGCACTTCCCCAAGGGACTTCCTTCCCACATCCCAAGAATTTATGACAAAGAGTAAAGTCTTGTGATGGCAAGCAGCAAAGACTGAGCTCCAGAAGTAGAAACTCCACCTCCAGGGAGCTTGTGGCTGACTGGAAACAGGTCTGAAGTCCTCAGCTAAGGAGGGCTTGACTCGAAAGGGAGTAGTGGGATTTTTGCCTGAGCAAGGACTCCGAGATTGTCCTCAAGCTGCATGATTTCAGCTGGGAACACATTAGAGGTATCCCAAGGAAAACGCAGGTAAAGGAAAATCCTTGTCTCTTTTGAAATCAGCTGGAAAATCAGAGAATGACTTGACCGTGCCTATGAAAGCCGCATCTCCCGTGAGTCCTATGAACATGGCAGATCCGTGAGAGCAGAGAAAGCAATGGACTTTGCAGGAACGAGCATTAAATCACCCATCAGCTGCAGGGCTGAGCCTCCTCCGTGATTCCCGTCTGAGCGGGGGCACGGTGGGGGCTGTCCGGTTATGACCGAGCCATGTGCGTGTTTGTGATTCCAGCTCCAA